ATAACAGACATAGCAATCGCAAAGAAAACTGTACAAACCACAGTACCATATTCCATGGGCAGAGTGCATTATTGTTAAGGTTTTTTTTTTCTCAGAGGAGTTTCACATTCTTATACTTCTGGAAACAATACTTATTAAATATGGTCAATTTCCACCAATTGTGGCAGTCAGAAAGCATGTGTGGCTCTAATTTTATGCACAATTGTTGCAGTCAGCCCCACTGTGGGACTTCTAGTATGTGCAAATATGCACAGGATTGTGCTATAACTCAATATTTAAGTAGGAGAGAGGGATAAGATTTTTAAATTGGAGACAAGAGATCGGAATTGTGCAGTCTGTGCTCTTCTTAGACCTACTTTTCATATAGACAATAAGCCTGTCTATGTGAAAAGACAGGCTTATTCACCTATCATTGGAAGCTTACACACCTCAATACCTCTCTGTATGACAAAATTTCCTGCATACAGATATCAAAGGCCCCACTGAGACAGAATGGCAAACCAGGTAAACTGTGGCTGGCTGAAAAAGGTTTCCCTATTTATTTCAAAACCCAGTAAACCAGATTGCCACCTAGGTTTTTATCCTAGCTGGAGAGAAAGTACAACACATAGTTTGCTTGTTGACATAACTGAAGGAAATGTAGTTTCTCATGAATAAAGATTAAAAATTCATAGAAGACAGAAGGGAACAGGCAAGCTTAATGTCCTTGGGGCTTGCTCACATGATGATAACTATAGTTTGGCATTATGTCTTAATTGGCACCTGCAGACAAAGGATGATTTTTTTTCTTGCTTGCTCCTTTCTTTTCATTGTCCTATGCCAAAAATCTGAAACTCTGTCATTACTCATGTTATACAGTATTGATAAAATGAGGAAATATATTGCAAGTTAGCGATATTTTCTGATAATTCTTTTTAAGGTGCCTGAATATCTTCACTGGTGGCACCTTTAAATACACTGATAGTGCTTTAAACTTTGCTAGATCCCTCTGTCTATATCCCCTGTCTGGGACTATCCTACTTATGAACTCGTAAAAGATGGCGAAGGCAAGAGGTTGTTAAACCATAAAATAGTTCACAGATTTATTCTCAAATTTTAAAAATCTTATTTAAGTCCAGTTTTACCACAAATTTTGCATACTGGGGACATTTTGCTCTTGTTGGTTCACCAGCTAAATTCCCCTTCATTCATGCTAATGGACTAAAGCACTTGCTTTTCAGAATAGGAACAGTGTGACAGTTTTGCCACTTAATAAAGCAAAGATCCCTTCAATAAATCAGGCTCTGTTTAGCACATTAGCACTCACCCTTCACTCTTCTGTCATAGTATGTTAGCTGCTGTCATGGGGACAAAGTCACTCCTGAGGTAATCCCAACAAGGATTCATGGAGAAGAGCTTAGTTTATTATCTCCAGCTAACTTCTCTGTAAAGTTCTGGAGAAATGTTTCAGAGTTCTTATAAGGCTAGCAAAAGTGGAGTGTTAATAAAATACTGGAGGGTTGGGGGGAAGCGTGCTTGAGTGGGATGTTGCTAGAACAAGTGCTTGCTGGTATTTTACATCCCATCTCTGTGTTCCCTGAGACTGCCAAGAAAAGAAACCGTTGCTCATTTCTGTGTTAATATGCTAACACCAGAAAAGTAGCACAATCTCCTCCAGAATACAAACATTGTTTGGAAAGCTAGACAGATGATATCCCACCACTCCCTTTCTAAGGGTGCCTGATCTGTAAATTGATTTAATTTGCTGAAAAAGTGAGGAAAATTTAGATGGTTTCCTTCAAGATATGTGCATGTGGTGTTTTCACTATTTCATTCTCTTGTGCTGCCTTATTTTCTCCAGGACACACACATGTAGAAGCAGGGTGATTACAGGTATGGCTGAAATCAAGAATGCTTCTACCCAACCACACATACAAACACATTCAACTTCAAGCAGTTTGGGAGAAGACATCGCCATGACATCTGTTACATCTCTGGACACCAGCGTTCCTCAAGCTTCTACCCTTCCAGTATGACTACAGCTCCCTTAATTCTCAACACTGGCCATGGTGGCTAAGGGATACTGGGAAATAGTAGGCCAAGACACCTGGAGGTTGTCAGATTGGAAAGGCTAATGAATGCATGTGAACCATACTGAGCACATGGGAAAAAAGTTAGAGGTAAACATGGTAATCAGTCTAAATCTTTCAGCTCCACAGCATCTCTGTCACAATGCTTTCCAACAGGGAATTCATTCAGGCATGAATCATTACATGTAAAGCAATCAAGAAATGCATATGCAAGTGTGAAACAAACTTAATAGCCTTGAATTTGATCAATAATCTATGACATTCTCTACTCTCACCGAATCAACAGTTCTTCATTTGAAATAGGAAACATAAAGTGGCCCTTTTCACTAAAATACTTCCATTGAACTACTGGGAGAGACTAACACCTACACTGGTTAGGAAGTAAAATGGATTCTAATCTGTTTTGCATCACCAATGTACTTTTGACACAAACAGGCAGGGAGGAAGTCTAAACTGTTCAGTGTTATCTCTTGCAAAAAAACACCCCCACAAAGCTGCCATATATGAAGCCAGATTTTTAGTCTAACTATTTTTGTATGGTTTGGCAGGTGCCCTCCAGGAGTTCAGACTTTCCCAATTCTACCTCAACATGTCAGGAATCCACCCTCTAACCTCCTGAATGTAACACATGTGCCCTTCCACAGAGCTATGGCCCTTCTCATGTGAAAAAGAGGATGGCACAGATTCCAGTATGAACGTCCAAGAATATCAGTGAGATATATCAGTTTTGATGAAGAGCATGAATGAACAACATGCAACATACAGCTTCATTGTTTTTGTCTATACAGTGTTAGCATTTTCTCCTTTTGTATAATATGTGATACAAGGGGTGTTTCTCTTTTTGGAAACTGCAATGGGATTAAACTGGTAGAAAGCCTTAAAACTGGAGATAAGGAACATGTGCCCCTTCAGAATTTCTTGGACTACAATGCCCATCTGTGCATGGTAATGGGACTGTAGTCCAACAACATTGATTTTTCTTATGTTCCTCATCCTTACTTTAGTGGACAGAATACTGAGCAAAATTCTCAGCCAGTCGGGTAGCTCACTGACTCTAGGGACTCACTTGTCCTTAGCCTAATCTATTTTAGAGGACTGTCATGAAGTAAAAACAGTGGGTGAGGACAGAATTATAAGTAGCAATTTTGATAGTGGATACCCCACCTCATTACTTAAGCTTACACTACAAGAATAGTGTACATAGGAAGACAACAAAGGCATGAGGAGGAACATCTGAGTCTTTGCGTGTGATGACCATATTAAGTGCTGAACCTCCACCAGTTTTGTGTTTGTTTGCCCAGGGAGAAAAAAAGCTGGAGATGGCATGCATACAATGGGGATGGGGTTTGCCCTTCCTGTGTAAAATTTCTATACCTTCTAAACCAGTGGTTCCCAATTCTTGGGCTACAACTCCCTGGAGATGGCATGCATACAATGGGGATGGGTTTTGCCCTTCCTGTGTAAAATTTCTGTACCTTCTAAACCAGTGGTTCCCAATCTTGGGTTCCCGATGTTCTTGGGCTACAACTCCCCAAAGCTAGCGGTAAAGGCTTCTGAGAATTTTAGTCCAGGACTATCTGGGGACCCAAGGTTGGGAGCCACTACTCTAGCATGATCAAGATAGAGATAAAAGAAAAACATTACTGTGCAAACAGAAGGTGGCTTATCCGTTTCTCCCATATAGTTCTACTGGATAAGGCATAAACTGCAATCCCATACTTGAGAGAAGACACTGGGATCAAAGTGGTATATTTAGCCCCCTATATATGGGTGTCCCTGAGGTGAAGCCTTTATTTTCTCCCACAGGATTGCATGGCTTCATCCTCCACACAGCCTGGAAGCCATGTTTAATTATAGTGGCACAGCCAAGTTTGAAAAAAGAAGAAAGGCCTGTTGACGCCTTTTGAGATGTCTGAGACAACACCCTCTATGGATGGGATTATGGAGGAGACAGTTTTCCAGGTGCTGGCAGAGAAGTCACTTGATATCTACACTAGTGACCAACAAAACACACAATAGTGCGTAGAGAACACAACAAAGCAACTAAAGATATGTTTACATGTATACATACTCCTCCCCTCATGCGTCTTTATAATTAATTGACATGACTTAGTTCTGAGATCCAAGCAAGGCTAGGAGCAGCCCTTCATGGTTCCGCTGAAATCACATGGTTCCTAACGGATCACATGTTTCTACATGACCACAAAACAGCCTTTTCCACCGTCTTTTCCAACTCAGGCCACACAGGACGGCGCGTTGCTTGCGACTTTGCATGTCCTGCGTCTCCGTGGTCGGGTCGCGTTTTTGCAAACATAGTTATTTAATTTCACATCCAGCCCTTCAGCCCCACAAGTGCCAAAGGCGAAGGCTGTGGCAAAGAATTTAGGGGAGGAGGAAGAGGAAACGCACAGGTTAAACCTGTTCCTTATTTTTAACGCCTCTCAGTGGGGAAGTTACCTGAACGTGTATTCGTTCCCCCCCCCCGCACAGTTCAAAACCCCTAAACCCTTTCCCGCCCCCCGATTTGGCCCGCATAGCTGTGTCTACGTGTGAAACCACATAAACACCCTTTTCAGCCATGAATTATCACACTTGCTTTACATTTGGCATAGTATGCTAAATATACACCAAGCACGCGCAGCAACTCACGGGGTGTAACCCCCTCCCTCCCCTCCTCCGTTTCTATGGTGCCTGGTCTTAAAAATAAGACCGCTTTCCATTTCAATAACAGTTTTCCTTGAGCATGTAAAGAACAGGCATAAAAAAATCACTGCAGGGCTTTTTTTTTTAAGAGTTAGTTTAGCTCACGAATAATAAAGAGTGTAGTAGAGCATGCAGTTAGTTAGTCTTTTAAGTGCAGCATGGCATGCAAGTTGTGCATTCCTGTTGGCAAAGGCGCTTCGAAGGGTAGAAACAGACTCGTATGCTTACAATTATGCCCGCCCAATATGGAGTGTCTCTGACTAGCAGAGAAGAGCTGATGCCTGCCATAAGGAAGCCCAGCACTGTGACTGAGGCGCCTAAAGCCAGCTGCAAGAAAGCCACCAGCAACGGGAACCGGCAGCCCCAGCACGTGTGAACGTCCTCTTCCTGGCCCGCTTGGGGATCTCGTTTGGCTTTCTTCTTTTTCATCGCTGCTTCTGGCTCCTTGGCGGGCTCGCCGCTTTTCTGCGTTTCAGCTTTCCCTGCCTGGTTCACGTTTTTAGGGGACGTGGTGGTCTGAGCTTTCTTTTCTTCTTTTCCCATGTTGTGAGTCTCCCTCTCGCTCTCTTTTTGGCCAATGGGCGTGTTTTTGGGGGGGTTATTTGGTGGTGGTGGTTATTATTATTATTATCACTGCCCCACCCGAAGCTTCCCTTTTGTGCGGCTGGCTGAGTTGTTCCTGGTATTTGAATCGAAGAGGCTGAACAAATATGGAAAACATTTGGAGCGGATTGTCAGAGCTTCCCAAAGCCACATATAGCCCAGAGAAGAGGGGGAATCGAGGGGGGTGACGGACTGCCAACAGGCGCGAACAGCTCGCCTGTTTGGTCGGAGGAGGCTGGCACGTGAGAACGGGGGCTGCCTCCCGCGCGGGTGGGGCTCGGCCGTCGCCAGCCACGCAATTAACGTGCAGAGATTTCCACGCTTAATTGGGGTTCGGCGTCAAACGAGGACTCCGGCGGTCGTGAGGAGGAGGGAGAGAGTCCTCCCTCGGCAGCGTATGGACGATTGGCTAAAAAAAAAAATTAACTAAAATAAAATTGTCAACCAGAAAGTGCCTGCGTGTGGCTTAATTAGCATTCAGAAACAAAACAGGGACGTGTGTAAGCATGACAAGAAAAATTGCGCACGTGTGTATACGGAAGAGGACGAGCCACTTCAGTCGCGAGAGCATGAGTCGAAGCACTGATGAATATGCTTAAATTGAAAACAGAATAAGAGAGAGATCAGCCGTTATTGCTTTTAATACGTAACAAGTCTTCAACAACTTTTTAATCTGATTTTGTCAGAATTAAAGGAAAGGCATTCTGGTGATTCAGTTCCCTTGCCTTTAATTAACGTTTGCCCGACAGATACCTGTTCCAGAGGGAGAGTTGCTTTTTCCACCTCACTAACTTTCTCTGGTGCTTCCAGATAACCTGGAGGCCTCCCAGCATAACCAGTCCAAAGGCAGAGCCCACCTCTTCCATCTTTCCCTTTTTGGGCTCATGTTTTGTAGACATAAAAGATGGAGGCAATGAGGGAATATGGGATGGTTACAACCACAATATTATACTTTATGGATATCCACATTGCATTGCAACATTTCATTAATGAGGCTGGACAACTGCACAATAAAAACCTCATCTGGAAGCATGGTGCCTTGAGTGTCAGTCTAACCCTGATAGAACAGGTCCATTTATTTAATTAGGTAGAATATAGAGGGATGTGGTGGCGCTGTGGGCTAAACCGCAGAAGCCTGTGCTGCAGGGTCAGAAGACCAGCAGTTGTAAGATCAAATCCACGTGACAGAGTGAGCGCTCGTCGCTTGTCCCAGCTCCCGCCAACCTAGCGGTTCGAAAGCATGCAAATGCGAGTAGATAAATAGGGACCACCTCGGTGGTAAGGTAACAGCGTTCCGTGTCTAAGTCACACTGGCTATGTGACCACGGAAGATTGTCTTTGGACAAAAACGCTGGCTCTATGGCTTGGAAACGGGGATGAGCACCACCCCCTAGAGTCGAACACGACTGGACAAAAATTGTCAAGGGGAACCTTTACCTTACCTAGAATATTTATATCATGCCCTCCCCAAAATATGCCATAACTCTGAACCACATTTGGGAGACCCCTGGATCACTTATCGCTCCCTGTCAGCTGGTCCTCCCACTCCGGAAGCACCACTAGGTTGCTCCAGACATTGACATCATTTTAGAACTGCAGAGCTAGAAGGGACTCAATGGATCACTGAGTCCAGCCCCTGCCAGGGAGGCACAGTCGGGAATCGAACTCCCAACCTCTGGCTCCACAGCTATATACCTAAACTACTGAGATATCACGAATGAACAAGATCCTGCCCCACTCCGTGATTAACTTCTTGGATAATTGGCCCATTTTAAAAAGAAGGGGACACTACACTGTTTGCACGATTTCTTTTGCAACTCCAAGTTTACCTTTATGTGGCTTATGAAATCATGGTCCAATCTCATTTTATTTACACAACAGTCCTGTGAATCATGTAAGGTTGGGTGGGAGTGATCTAGCAAAGGTAGGTTGAGTTTATATAGTGTGTGGTGTGTGTGTGTTGTTGTTGTTGTTGTTGTTGTTGTTGTTTTACTACTGTGCAACAAAGAAACTGGCAGGGTGACTCAGGGAACTGTAGTTTAAAGAAATTAACTTTTCCAAGCTCAGGCACAAGTGTATCACTTGACCAGCAGCTTATTTTTGTAGCTTTACATCAGTATGCACCACCTTATTTTGTATACCTGCACCGTGTAATCCAGCAGCACTTCATTGTTGTTGTTGTTGTTGTTTTACTACTGTGCAACAAAGAAACTGGCAGGGTGACTCAGGGAACTGTAGTTTAAAGAAATTAACTTTTCCAAGCTCAGGCACAAGTGTATCACTTGACCAGCAGCTTATTTTTGTAGCTTTACATCAGTATGCACCACCTTATTTTGTATACCTGCACCGTGTAATCCAGCAGCACTTCATTGACCAATTTCTTATAGCGCTGCACACTTGCCTCTACTGTACATGTAAGCCAAGGTGCTGGCCATCTTCTTCTGAAAAGTGTTGGAAATTTCACGTTGGCTGTTTTGTGGAGCTGTAACTACACAGAATCAAGCTGGCCTGGCTATAAAATAGGTAGAATCCTAAACATTTACTTGGACAGAGGTTTCTTCAAGTACAATGAGAGTTACTCTTAAGTAACTTTAAAATGGCACGTATAGGCATAATATAACTACAATATCTCTTCTATAGTGAAAGGACAAGGTATATATTTTTGGCACCACACCCACCAAATTGGGCAGCACAACAATGAAGTATGTTTCCAAGCTAAAACAAGGTATGTGGGGATTGCACATCTTGTTTCAGAGAATGTGCCTTCATCTGGAAATTAATTTTGCTGCTCTGCCACCCAGTTCTGACAGCCTAACTCCAAATTCGGTCCACTTGATCTGCCAAAAACTATCTGTGGCGATCCTCCTTGTTGCCCCTTTATTTCCTTTGGGCTCCACAAAGGTAAACACACCTTTTTCCTTCTTTTCGCTGCCACCAGGTATTTCTGAGAGCTGTAACTACACAGAATCAAGCTGGCCTGGCTATAAAATAGGTAGAATCCTAAACATTTACTTGGACAGAGGTTTCTTCAAGTACAATGAGAGTTACTCTAAAGTAACTTTGAAATAGCACGTATAGGCATAATGTAACTACTGTATCTCCTCTATAGTGAAAGGACAAGGTATACATTTTTGGCACCACACCCACCAAATTGGGCAGCACAACAATGAAGTATGTTTCCAAGCTAAAACAAGGTATGTGGGGATTGCACATCTTGTTTCAGAGAGTGTGCCTTCATCTGGAAATTAATTTTGCTGCTCTGCCACGCAGTTCTGACAGCCTAACACCACTTGATCTGCCAAAAACTATCCACTTACCACAGTGAACAGGACTGCAGTCCAACTGTCCTATTTTTTATGGGGGAGGGGCGACAACGTGGCCCACACTCAAGGCCATCTCCTGTCATACAAGCCTGCTCTTTAAAGTCTGGAAGGAGGAGAAGGTCATTTCTACATCCCAACAATGGCAGAAGAATTATTGTTTGAAATGCAGGTAAAGGTCTACAATGTGGCTGTATAAAAGCTACAAGACCACCTGCCAAGGAAGGTTCATCTGGCTCTTGCACTGCCTTCTGCCACCTGGGTTAAGTTTTTGTTCCAAGAGGCATTTGATTTGCCATGCCAAGGAAACACCTTTTCTCAACAGACAACTGATCTTAGTTGTCATTGAACTGGTTTTTATCTGCTGTAACCATCTTTTGTTTTGACTGGTCTTAGATGCTATAATTTTATTCTCTTTTAATCTTTACTGGACCATTTACATTTCTGTTGTACTATTTCTAAGGTTATACCAAGTATCTGTCTACTGCTCATAGACTCCATGCATTTATGCAAGTAGACTCATACAAAGTGAAATTTGTTAGTCTGATGAGATTATTTATTATGTTCGCTACAATTAACTGGTTTTAATTGTTTGTAATTTCTTATATGCCAACCCGAGTTATGCAGTTGTAGTGAAAGGGTAAGATACACATTTTTGTAAGAAACATCAATTTTTTTCATGTCAAGCAGGTTTTTGGCACATGAATTAGCCTCTGAGGAAGAAGCCATTACTACAGATCATACTTATTTTTACTTTTTTGCATGTATTTTTCAATTTTTTAAAATATGTCATGGTTGTTTTAATATGATAATATGTTTATTTGAGTTTTAGTACTAGAGCAGTGTGTTTTTATTTTTTATTTTTTAATCAATAATTTAAAGCTCTCGGGTCCCTGTATCAGGAGAAGGGTATATGGATAAATAAACAAAGAAGAAACAAACAAGGCCTATGGTAACAACCATTTCTGCAGGTATGTCTGAAGTACAAAAAAGAAACAAGATTCTTTGTCCCCACCCCCCAAATAAAAACAGAGATTTGCACAGTTCTGGCATGGCCTGTCTGTCTGCCACACTTCAGTCCATCACCTTTACTGCTTCTGTGTGCCTATAGCACCTCTGTTGCAGGTTGGCCTTTCGGATACAGACCTGGCTGTGGCTTCACAGCAATAATACAATCTATGTAAGAAGCAGGGAGGACACTGCCATGACCATCTTGTGTTGATTTCTGCTGCCAAAAGGATCTTCACACATGCTGAGGCTGCAACAAGAAAGTCTTTCCCTTGACATATGGGCAATACCTCCTGAGAAACTATGCTATTTCCAGTTCTTTATGATACTTAACTGCAATGAAGTGTGTCTTCGGTAGTAATAAATTATGCTGTCAAATTGCTTTATGGATTAAGCAATATCCTCTTCAGACATTTATGTCCCATAAGGAAATAAGAAAACGGAGAACCATACTTTCATTTACATTCCTCGAATCTTATGAACTTATTTTCTGAAATATAAAAAGCAGAATTTTAAAAAAATGTAATATGATGGATTTTACATTCTTGGGCTCCATGATCGTTGCAGATGGTGACAGCTGCCTCAAAATTAAAAGATGCCTGCTTCTTGGGAGGAAAGTGATGACAAACCTAGACAACATCTTAAAAAGCAGAGACATCACCTTGCCGACAAAGGTCCACATAGTCAAAGCTATGGTTTTTCCTGTAGTGATGTATGGAAGTGAGAGCTTGACCATAAAGAAGGCTTACCACCAAAGAATTCATGCTTTTGAATTGTGGTGCTGGAGGAGACTCTTGAGAGTCCCCTGGACTGCAAAGAGAACAACCCTATCCATCCGTTCTGAAGGAAATC